CGATCACTTCGCAGCCGCTCGGAAGGCCGCCAGTTTGCCTTTGCTGCTCGAGGCCCCGCCCTCCTTGCATAAGAACCTCCACTTTGTTGCTGAGGTCATGGCACGGATGGGTCCTTCCGTGCGCGAGGCCAGGCAGGATGCAGTCCGCGCACTTCGTGAACTGAAGCGCCGTTGGCATCCGGAGACGGAACGCATGCAGCAGCTTCAGCCCTCCTCTGTTCGGGCTGCGACTAAGAGGCGGGATTTGGGTCTCCTCGGACTTCTCATCATCCTGTTTCATTGGGTTGACGTTTCCTACCCCTTTCATTTGCAGACCGGCTTTCCTGTGGAGTTTTCCCTTGTCAACTGGCTTTTCCAGTTTCTGATTTGCGGACTGGGAATACGAGGTCCGCCGTACCATTTCCCAACTTGGGCCGGGGCGCCATGACGACTTTCTGGTGAAGGCCACTCAAGCAGATGTAGACCAGGGTTTTGCGGGCCCGGCCATGACCTTGTCCCAGCTGCGTCGGTCCCTTGGAGGCTCTGGCAAATTGCGTTTGATTGACAATGCATTTGCAGGGGGCCATTTCCCAGGATAGCAACCGGTTGGCCTTGGTGGAGCAAGCTAGGAAACGGCTGTATCCCAAGCGCGCTGTCATGGAGTCCGGCGGGGAGGATTGGCCGTCAGCCTATTGTCACACGCCCATGCACCCACATGACGTGAGCTGTTTGGACTCGCTCTGGCAGTTACCAGTTTCAACCGCTATTCTCGTGTGACCGAGATGATAGCGCGGCGTTTCTGCTTAGCTGCAGCCAGCTTTTATTTCGACGATTGCGCCATTCAGGATTTTAAGGCCGCGCGGGGCAGCGCGCAACCAGTGTTTGGGCACCCCGTTTGCTGCTGAGAAACAGCAGGACATGCAAAGTCAGGGCGACTTCTTGGGGCTCATTCACAACCTCGAGGAAGTCTAGCGTGGGGGCGAGTGGGCCGTGCGGGCTTGCAGGCCATTCAGGCCCGGCAGTGTGAGAGAAGGACATCTCTCACTCCGGAGCTTCGCCGCAGTCTGGCAATGATCTCAGCGCTTGTTCAGCGTCGGCCCCAGCGAATTGTTCAAATCTTTCCTCCCGCAGTGCAGCGGGTTGTAGTCGCCTTGGACGCCGCTTTGGAGGAGGGCACCTCCGGCTCCGCTGGCTTCCTGGTGGAGTGGCTGGGCAGCCAGCCACCTCGTCGATTGGCGTGCTATGTCCCGATCGAGCCGGAGTTGTACTGTCTGTGGACCGCAGAGCCCCACGAAATAGCCCAGCTGGAGATGCTTATGCTATGTGTGGGCCTCATTCGATTGGCATTCGACACTGTCGAGGCGTTTGGTTCGTTGACAATATTTGTGGTGTCATGGCACTCATCAAAGGCCGCAGTGATCAGCCGGACCTTGACGCCATGGCAGCCATTGCTTCGAATACGTCCCCACTAAATCCAACTGGGCAGACGGTATTTCTCGAACAGGCTGTAATGACCCCTGGCACCGGAAACACAATTTTCCCAGTGTCAGCTTTCAGTCCCCATGGAATTGTGGGGCCTCCCTTTTGCACCTCTCTTGCTAGTTTTTGAGTATCTCTAGTGCTTTGGGACGGAAGAGTGGAGTGCGTTGGGGTCAAGTGGACCCACACCGGATGGGCAGTCCAAGGGTGTGTGTTCTGGCAACGCCATCGCACCAGCTCAGAACCAAAGCACTATGGAGTAGACACTCCTTGTTGATGGCAAGAAAGTAAAAGAGAGAGCTGGCCGAGTGACCTGCGGCTGCATCCTGACATGGGGAAGGGCCCCTGCCTTCAAATGTTTTTCCTTTTTTTGATACTGATCCTGTTTAATTGGGAGGGGTGGTTGGGGGTTCGCCCAAACGGGTGCGGGGGGGATACTGAGCTGTCCAACGGTTTTGTTTGCTTGATACTGGGCTGCTGAATGGGTTTGGGTGTTGGTACTGGACTGCCCAACTTGTCCGCCCAGGTTGGGCGTGATGCTGGGCTGCCCAACGGGGGTTTCTTTTTCTCCGTTTTTTTTAGACAGTCCGCAGATGACGCGGACTTGATACTGGGCTGCCCAACTGGTCCTCCCAACCCGTGCGGGGGTCGGGCTGGTTGGGCTTGACACTACACCCCCCAAACGGGTGTTGGGGGGTGGGTCGGGATTGGTACTGGGCTACCCAAAACGAGCGAGGAGGGAGGGATTGGGCTTGATACTGAGCTTTTGAACGGGGTTAGTGGGGGAGCGGACTTGATACTGGTCTTGGGCTTGGAGGTTGGGTTGTTGTACTTGTCTGCCCAAACGGGCGTGGGGGGATTGGGGGGTGATACTGGTCCGCCCAACCCGGTTTAGCCTCCGTTGAGACAACTGAGACAAACACAAAAAAAAAAAAAACGGCAAATTTGGCTGTTTTTTCTGCCATGAAGGACACAGTCCGTGTTTTTTTCCAGAGCCAGAGAAGTCCCACTGAGACATTGAGACAAGTGAGACAAGTGAGACAGACAAGTGAGACAAACGCAAAACGGGCCAATTTGGCTTCTTTTTTGCTGTGAAAGCCTCCGTTGAGACAACTGGGACAACTGAGACAAACACAAAACGGGACGAGACAACTGAGACAACAACTGAGACAAGTGAGACAAACACAAAACGGGCCAATTTGGTTTTTTTTTGGTATGAAAGCCTTCGTTGAGACAAGCAAGACAAGTGAGACAAACACAAAAACCGGCCAATTTGGCTGTTTTCTGCCACGAAGGAGACAGTCCGTTTTTTTCCAGAGCCAGAGAAGTCTTACTGAGACATTGAGACAAGTGAGACAAGTGAGACAAACGCAAAACCGGCCAATTTGGCTGTGTTTTTGCCACGAAGAGACAGTCCGTTTCTTTTTCCAGAGCCAGAGAAGTCTTACTGAGACATTGAGACAAGTGAGACAAGTGAGACAAACGCAAAACCGGCCAATTTGGCTGTTTGTTTGCATGAAACCCTCTGTTGAGACAACTGAGACAAACACAAAAACGGGCCAATTTGGCTGTTTTTTGGTATGAAAGCCCCCGTTGAGACAACTGAGACAACAACTGAGACAAGTGAGACAAACAGAAAAACCGGGTCAATCCGTCTCAAGCGTACATATATAGATTGTTCTCTCTCAGGCTTTCCTGCATCCTGACAAGTTTACAAATCGGCCATGCTTCAAATTGGATGGATATAGCTACCGTTTTGATGGAAACTTGCTAGATCTTCTCAGCCAAAGGCGTCCGTGGTGGCCAAGACTTCGGCGCCATCAGACGGGTCTTGCAAGAAATGCAAGCCAGAGCCCTCAAACTCCTCACCCTCTAAAACGACTGTGTCCACAGTTCGCTCCTTCACCCCTCTGAGATGCTGCTGCAGAGTTATCAGGTCATCAAGAACCCGCTCGCCATAGAAGCTGAACTGATCTTGGCGGTCTGACTGCATAGCTGCAGGGTCACCGTGTAAGCGGCGCAGCTCTAGTCTGTGCCGCTCTTTTGTTTCCTTCATCGCTTGTTGCCATCTCTCGTTCTCTTCATCTCGTTGTTGTTTGAGCCTTCTATATGCATCACGATGGGCTCTAGCATGATCAAAGGCGTGCATCAGCCGGTCCTGGTCAGACTTTGCCCTCCGATAATACAAATTATGTTTCGATTGAAACATGTTATTCCTGTTAGTGAACCAAGTGCAAGTCAGGCGCAAGGCACACGAACACAAAGAACACCTAGCAAGGCGCATGGACCATTCATCTGCATCATTTAAGCGTCCCTGCCCCTCTGGTCCTTCATCTCAACCTTTTCCTGGCGTTCTCGTCGCAGCATGGCTTTGCAAGTCCGCAGCTTCTCATAGAGAGCTGCGCGACTGGCACTGGAGAAATTCTGCCTCGCAATGCTTGTTTTGCACTTGTGCACTGACGCTTAGGCAGGGTGAGAAGAGCGAGACACTTGATAAGACAGGCTGCATCTCCTCTCGTGCTTTCTTTGCCTGGTAAGTGTGCAATGTGCCAACTCAGTCCAAAGATGCAATCTGGATGAACGGGAAGCTTCCAAAGACAGCAGGCCATCGGCTGCCGGCAGTCCATGCACACACCGCCCCTGTGCCTGCTCGAGAAGCGTTTTGATCTCCTGCATTCTCATCGCTTGCTCTTGCGTCATGCCTCAGCAGCGCAGATTTAAAAATCTACCGCTACGCTTTCACACGTCCGGCCTTTGCCAAGCGTCCATTCCTGTGCCGTCTGCACGATGGAAAGGGTCTGCTCCAGATCTGCTACCCTGGCCATTTCTGCACTGAAACCTTGCATGCCACACTCTGTGCCCAATTTGGCCAAAGCAAAAGCTGCTCAAATAAACCCTGCATAAGCCCGGGATCCAGCCTATCCTTCAATCGCGTATTGTCCTTTTTGAGCTCGCTCACCTTTGCTCGCACGAAATCTAGCGGCCTGGCAAAGGAGCAGGATTCAAGTTAATAAGCTCTGCTGCTAAACAAGCTCGGCCTTGCCCCAAGATTTACTGCTTGATCAGCGTGCGTGTGCGCAATAAGCAAATCCACAGGGTCTGGTGGGTCAAGTAACATTGTATCATCCACATCCTGCCAGGAGAAGCTTGGCAAATACGGGCTGCTGCTTGAAATATCTATGCCTTGGTCTGAAGTGGATCAGACCTTGTTAGCAATCCATCAAAAAGAGGCCGCAAACATCTCACTTAAACCCTGACTAAACCAAACACCAAACCAAACCACGTTGAAAGCACATCAGGTGCGACCTCATTTGGTTTGCGCCCAAATATAAATGAAAACCTGGAATCTGGCCCGCTTGACAAGCAACTCGGTTCGATGTCATGGGCAGCCTCTGTGGACCGACACACTAGGACCCTCAAAGCCAAAATCGCAAAGAGGTCAGCGGCCTGAGCGCTAAAACATACTAGGAAAAATACAAATGATCACAGTGCTGCTTTCAGACGCAAAAAACCAGAGTACCTCGAAGAGACTTATTGATGTGCCACAAAAACATGTTTGATCTCTTAGCCTGACAGCTGTTGGCCGGAAACTCGTACTCAGCTGGAGCAGAAGGTATGTTTCCACGAGCATGGAAATCACATGAAGCAAGAGACATCACAAAGTGTCACCAACTACTGTAAACCGTGAGGCAGAGTAGACGAATGACACACCGCCATCAACCAAACTGGCGACAAAAAAAGGAGTCGCTGGAGTCGCAACTTCACTTCCCCGTTCCCATCCGCTCCTCAAAGCCCGGCTCTGCGAAGCTGGCGCTCCGCCTATCGGGCCCTTCGACCACCGCATCGACAACGATCTGCGACATGAGAGCCGACAAGCCGACCAGAAGCCGATGAGCTAGAGGTGAGCTAGACGAGCTGCCTGTGCCTGTGGCCGTGTGGAAAGCGGTTTGCCACGAGAGACAGGCAAAGCCGCGAAGCCGCAAAGCGCGAAGCCCCGCCTCAAGGCTTTGATGTCAAGTCGTGCGTGCACGGCAAGCTCTGGGTTCGGTGAGCGGCGCCTAGGGTCCTTAGCCTATGCTGCTTTGAGCCCGAAGGGACAGGGAACTCGAGAATGACAACTCCACCCCCCAGCCATGGTCCCTGGCAGCATATCCAACATTTGCACGGCGAACAACTCAAGGCGCCTTTCGAACATGTATTTGCGATCGATGTGATCGATGCAATGGAAACGTGCTTGGCGTGTGCGCGCGCTATGTTGCGCTCTACAACAAACACAGTTATTTGCCATTTGTTAACATGGACCAGGGAATACTGCACTTGTTGGATTGCCTATTGGATCCCCAATCGTTGTTCTCTAGTCGTTTTCCCATGGCATGAAATTGTCTGCAAATAAAGCTGTGTATACTCACCTACCCCCAGGGCTGTGTCGTGCTTCCGTGATTTGCAGTTGCCATACTACGTTTCAAATAGCCACTCCTTTTACACGGACAAAACAAGTACGGGTGAGCCATGTTCATGTATTCGCGTTTGACAGGCACGCTCTGAGACACGGTTCAGTTTGTTTTCAGGCTCAAGCACCCTTGGCCTCCGTCGCCTCCTCCACTTTGTATCCATGACATCCATGGCTGTCAGGCTTGCCATCCGCTTTTGTTCCGGCTTGTGTGGCTGTTGATTTGGCGAATCTGCCTTGACTGTAGAAGCTGGCGGCCAGGCTTCACAGGCTGATTCATCCAGCATGGCAACGAGAATCACTCTTTTAACGACATGTGTTCAAAGTGCGCCACCTCGGAGACCTTGTTCACATTCTGCTCAAAGCTCAGGTGTTGCTGCCTGCCAGTGCAGACCCGAGATCGTCCAATCAGAATCAGTTCGCGATTGACTGCGTAATTGACGGGAAGATGTCTCAACGCGCAGCTGCGGCCTGTTGGCATCATCGCCCCTCATTCTAAGTTCATTCACCTTGCAAACAGAAAGAAACGAGGCTACATGGCTACGCTGAGGGATCATCGACAAATCTGGGCCTCCGTTTGCAGCTGAATGATCTGCTGCTGGAGCTGCTGGTGCGTGTGAGCATAAGCCTGTCAAGATGATCAACATTTCAGTTCTTGAAATGCAGCACAGCCACCGTGCAATGCTGCCTTTTTCAAGGTTTCCAGCTCCAAGGTTTTGAATCTGGCAGCCAGGGTGGATTCAAATGTGCAACCCCGCTACCAGTCTTTGCAAGTGTGCCTGCGCAGCTTGTCAACCTCTTTTGTGCAACGCGAATCGCAAAGCTATTCTGCTAATCGATGTGGGAACTCACAGTCACAGATCGGTGCTTGATGAGGGCCTGCCTCTTGCACATAGCTGTCTGACAAAGTACAACGGTAGTCCGCCCCGCCCACAGCAGCGTTTTCATTCTGCAGACCCACCATGCTGGCTTGGAAAACAAGATTACATCAGTCATGACTTTGTCGCAGTCTCTTCCCCTGGGGCGAATAGAGAAGCCATGGAGTCATAAGCCCAATATCCAGAAGCTGAGATCGCATTTGCCGTTGCACTCCCCGCCCAGTACACAGAGTCGCCCATCTGCCGGGCCCAGGAGCCAGGGTCACCAGTCTCAGCAAGCCGCCCTCCAAAAGCAGTGAGCACCTGACATGCCAATTGATAAACAGATCGGTGCAAATGCTGGGAAGTGAGACGCTGAAAATGGATTTCTGAGGCTGCGGCGTTGCTTGCGCTGAGGATGATCTGCATCAAAATTAGCTGGATCACTCTAGATGGCCTGCTTTCTCCAATGCTTTTAGTGAACTCCTCAAACTCCACATCTGGTGCATGAAGAGTTACAGAAGGGGCTTGATTGTCGGTCAGTATGGAGCTCACAGTGTCAAGGTCAATGCCTCTGATTCGCAGCTTTGCAATGACAACCTCAACCCTTTTGGGTGGTTTCTGGGCCTCTGCTTTGCCAATACTAGTGATGTGCTCGTGCACGCTGTTTATTGCACCGCTGCCCAGGTTTACCGTACCTCTTGCAACATTACTAGTCGTATCCATTGCATCTGAGAGGAGACCTTGCAGGGATCTCTGCTCAGTGGTCAGCGCTTCTGGCGGGGGCTCTACTTCGTCCTCCAACGCGTCCTGTTTACGAAGCTTTGTGACAAGATCCATAACATTGGATGTCTGAAGTTGCTGCTTCTCCACGGTCAGCTTCAAGTCATCAATGAAAATGGATGCCACCAAGAGCTGCTTAAAGCCTGCACCCAATGCGCAGCATGTAGCTCACAACATATCCTGCACACAAAATGTGAGGCAAGAAACGACTTTGACATGGCTCACCTGCATCATCCCCAGTTTGACAATGTACCTACTGCCATGGGAACACGTTCTCATGACTCCGAGAATCCATCCCCCGCCTGACAGCACGAAGTGTCTCATGTTGACCTTGCAGATAATCAGAGGCAGCATGCCGCAAGGAGCACTCTGCAAGTGAGCTTCAAACCGGGCGCGCTCTGCAGCTGGGTTTTTGCACAGGACAACACAAGACCATGCCGACCATGTAACTTGAACACATCATGTTGCTGTAACTGGCAAGCACTGGTCATACAGCACAGAAGCGCGGCCCCACCTTCACACAAACGCGCTGGATCGCTAGCAGGTTTTTGCACTTGTACGGCTCCAAGTTGCCAATTTCAATGCCTCAAGGGGACAGTGGCAAAGGTTGGCAAGCAGTCTGGGATGTTTGCGTTAGCATTGGCTGATACACGTAGCCGGATTCAGTGGAGTGCAACATGTTGTGTCAATTCCTTCCAGCGCCTTCCAATGTCACATTGGATTCTGTTCCTGTCTGGAAGTCAATAGCTTGGATGGAGCACCTCGGGGTGGCACACAGGATTCGAGGCTCTGTGGCCCACTGTCAGAAGAAAGGGAAAAACGTAAAGAACAAATCGGCTAAAGCCGTCACATGCTGTTGCTCGGCTTTGCAAGTAAGCATTACAAGCGCATCCAAACCATGAAGGCGTGGCATCAACAGCCGCCCGCGACCCCATGGCAGTAGCATCTGCAATCGGAGCACGGCGATCCAGCCAATGCCTTGCTGAGCAGGCCAGGCAGGATCTCCTTGAGCTTTCTGATGATTAAGGGCTTGGGATACCTCGCGTGCACTTGTCACGGATGAGTCGCCACCTAGCGCCATGCTAGAACATCTTGTCACGAGTGTGCGTCGCCTGTCCATTTCTGATGTGGCGACAAAAATACAGTGCTTGATGCCAGCATACAACGGCCAGAGCTGGCGATTGTCGAAGGTACGTAGTATTCGTTTTTTGCGACCCAAATCTTTGCTCGAGTTGCCTCCAGCCCTTCTCAATTAGGTTTTGAGGCCAGATCTGCGGCCCAAACCCACGCCCAGCCTCGACCGTGCCGAACAAATTCCCCTACAAAAAGGTCAAGTTCCCTTGCCCAATTCCCTCTAGAAGATGTAGAAGCCGGTCGGCCTAGGCTCTAAACCTTCGCTTGGCCCCAGTCCACTGCCCTTCTGTAGCTCTCAGACTGAGGCTCTAGTTCTAGCTCTTCAAGCCATGTGGAAACGCGCGAACACGCACCCACCATATATCTTGGAAACCAGCTCACGAATTTCGGTGCCGACTCACTCACTCAAACAATGAAAACAATTCAAGGCAAACCAAAACACGGTACGTACCTCAAAGCCAGCCCAAAGACTGGCGTAGGCGGGCAACGCAAAGCATTTGCGATCAATGCGAGTTTGTTGTTTGTTTTGTGTCTTTGTCCTGGATGGTTGTATTTTGCAACGTTTTCATGCACAGGTGGATTTGGGATGGGTGCTGCTTTGTCTTAAGATAGGGATTGTTTCAGGGAAAGTGTTGCTTTTGCGTTGGATTAGGCTAGGGTTTACGGAGGGGTTGGGGTGGATTTTCGGGTGGCGTTAGCGTGGTTTGGGGGTCTTCCGGGTGGGTAAGTTTAGCCTGGATTAGGCGTGTTTAAGCTTTGGTCAGAATGGAATTCGGGTAAGCGTATTGGTTTAGGGTTGGCTTCAGGTGTTGCTTCAGGCTTGGCTTAGGAGTGTTTTGGGTTTGGTAAAGGGTGTGTAAACAAACAGTTGCTTCAGGGTTGCTTGAGGGTTGGTTTAGGTTTGTTTTAGGTGAGGATGGGCTTGGGATTGCGTACAGGTTGGTCGAACCTCCAACCGTTGCTATCTGCACGCCTGAGGGCCCAGCGCAAAGCAAACGCTGGCTGCCAGGGAGATCACAAACAAACAGGTTGGTGTTGTGCTGGGATTTGGTTTAGGTTGTCTTAGGCTTGGCTTTAAGGAGATAAGGATAGGTTTAGTTGGTTTTGCTCAGAAGTTGTTTATTGGGTGAGGTTGGGCTGGGTATGGGATGGGTGGTGGACTCGTTCTCGGATGAGCTAAGCGAGGGGTTAGGTAGGGTCTGTTTAGGCGTGGTTTAGGCTTGTTAAAGGGTCTAGCGTTTCGTTCAGGTTGGCTTGGAAAGGGTAAGACTTGGCTTAGAGCTTGGTTTCGGGTGTCTTTGTAGAGGCCGAAGGTCACAATCCCAGGAGCCTGAAAAAAACCGCCAAAAAGCATCAAACTGCCAGGCACAAATAAAAAAAGAATCAAACGGTCAGTAGTTATCCAAAAGTCACTTAGACTTATCGAATGCACTACCAGGGTGCTTGTTCCAGGTGAAGTACACTCCACCAACACCAGTAGCGGCACATGCCACCACGGTTGCCAACACCATGCCAGCAAGCTCACTGCTCACAAAGGATGAGTTTGTTGCGCTCTTACATTGATGTTCGATTGACAAACACGTGCGGTGTGTGAAAGAGAGATTGGGGCAATGGGAAGGGGCGGTCACATCTTTGGACCGGAAGTCTGCGACTGAGCCAAATCAGCCGCGCACATCAAATCCCAAACCTGACACTGGAGATCAATGAACGGGGCCTATTGTTTGAGCTGGCTTGGCCCATGGCAGGCAACATGCGGGAGGCACCCCTGATTATTCCCCTGCTTTCGGGATCTCTAAATACAACCTGCAAAACAATTTAGCTGTCTCTGACTTGTTGCGCACATGCTGCTGCAAGCCAAACAAGCCAGTTCCTCTGCAGCTGCTCTGACAAAGACTGGCATTCTGCATGAACCTAACAGAATGACAAGTCAAGCAAATGTGTTTCACGTGAGTGCAAAAGGCTGCTGCCTGCTCGAGTCGTACTAACACAACATGCATAAAAAGGTCCGTTCCAATCGATCTTGCTGCAGATTCTGCATCCTGGCCTCCTGCTCAAACTGGCTCTTGGTTTTTTTCATGTTTGCGATCTCAGTGTACCTGGGCAAAACTCGGCCTCTCAAACATGATTGAAGCCGTCTGCCTCATGCCTAAATAAATGCATGAAGAAAAATAAAACGAGCGCACGCATCCGTCAACTTGTCGCGGAGGTCCGAGATCTGTGACTGCATTTGCTGTTGCACCTGTCGTGTTAATCTTCACCCAAAACCAAATAAGTTGAATCAGATGAGCAAACTGAGAACGGCGCCGTTGCCGTGTTCCTCTTGAATTCCGTCAAGTCAGTGTTGTTGGAGGTGATGCCTGAAGAGCTGAAAGCTTCAAAAGGTGAATGCTTGGTGCACTGGAGTGGACCATTTCGGATGATGCCCATCTCTGCAAGCCTCAAAGCAAATTCAAGGTAAATGCTGCCAACAAAAGTGGTACATCTGATCGTCTGAGGCATCCACATTTGCTGCAAGGAGGAGTTGCTCCGCAGCTTCATTTCCTGGTACTAGTACTATGCCCATACATTTAGAAAAAATGAAGCACGGGGCAGCATGATAAAAAGCTGAGATCACAATATTCTTGCACTAACACTCTAAGCCTATTCGTCCCAACACACCCTCCATTGCAGCAGTTGCTCGACCGTTCTGTGATCGTGCTCAATTGCAGATCCCTCAATGATAGTGTTTCTGGCATCTGACGTGCAATCCTTTAATTCTTGCCGTGTCAAGGGAGGCAGATTTAAAATCGATGTCAGAGGGTGGGTCGAGCTCAAAGCCAATTTGGATTGGCGACTCTATGCGGCACAGACTTGCACATGGTTCTGAGGCGCCGTCCGAAAGCCATTGCGCGAAGGCCAGCACTGTGACATCGAGATCCTAAGACCCCCTCCCATACAGGACTGTAGCCCGACCATTTCAGGACTGTAGCCCGATGGTCGGATGGCCCGCAGTCCTGAACGGATGGCAAGCGCTTGCCATCCAGCCTCGGCATTCCAAAAAGGCTCTCATGTCTCAGTGTCTCTCCGGTGCAGAACCTTGGGAAAAACAGCATATATCATATTAAATATCAGATTAAATCATTTATATCCTATATTAAATCATATTTTCATATTCTTTCATGTTCTTTCCTCTCAATTTCTCGCACGCTAAGAGCAGTGCTCATGGGCCATGACCGCCGCAGTCGCCTCCGGGCTCGCACCGTCTCCGGAAGCTGGAGCCAGCCGCCCACAGAGAGGACGAATGTCAAACTGCACTCCAAGAAGCTACGACTGCAAAAGAAAATGCACACTTACTAAAAGAGTTCTTACTCATAAAGTATTACTACAAAGTATTAAACTACTAGTTTTACTAATGTTCTTTTGCTATTTAGCATTGAACCCGCCAAAAACAAGGCATTGAATCCGGAAAAAATGACACATGCAAGAACTGCTCAACCTTGATAGAAATGGATTTGTTGTTACTCAGCATGATGATTGCTGCCAACAACACATGACAAAAAAGTCTCTGCAAATGAACGCGCTGCATCTTGGTATACTCTGCAAGGAGGCTGCCAAGCTTGCCACTCTGTACAGTGTCATGGTGCAGGCAAGGCTCACTTGGGGTATCAGCTAAAATGCGCTTACCTGATGAAACAAACGCTGCCGTCCACAATCGAATGAACAGCTAGTTTTTGCATGCACAAGCTGAGGTAGCGGCCCAAACAGGCAACTAAGCCAGCAGCCATCCTTGAAACGCACAAAGGCTTTGCGGTACCAAGCTGATTTCCACCCAGTGGGCAGCTATTTCACGTGCATGCTGTCATTCTGTCCTAAGCTGCCAAAGTCCGTTGCTTTGCCTGGCCTCCTGCACGTATCATCGATCTCCGTAAACGGGCAGGCCTGTGCGAGGCAACCATCGTGCGCCTTGTCACGTCACGATGCCGACAAGAGCACTGAGAAGAATCCAAACATTTTTTACCTGCGTGTGCTAACCGAACATGTGAAGCCAAAGGGTTCACCTTTTCCAGCGCCTTCATACTTGTTCGTGGCAGGCCTCTAAATGTAGCAAAACGTTCGGCCGGTCCAGAAGCACTTCCTCACAGCCCACCAGCACGATGCGCGACCTTTCAGTGATTCAGCATTGGACGACTTTGCAAGTACTATGACACGGGCTCGATTTGGTTTGAATGGTGTCAAGCATGGTTCTGGCGAGCGACAAACTCCGGGAATTCAAGACATTGGTCGCTCAGAGAGGGTAACATGCTTTCAGACAAGTCGCCACTCCTTGACTATGCGTAATATGATAAGTACAGTGGTTGGGATGCACTGCAGGTTACAACAGGAGCCAACATGGGCTCAGCAACCCAAAGCCTCCTGGGCAGACTTTGTACGTGTCTCTTTTTTGGCAAAGGGCGGTGTGCAAAACTCTGTTCGCGTGCTAGGTTGCCTCTCATAGTGGCCCTTGGGAATCAATGTTCCTGCACGTAACTATTGCCATGCATTCAATCTGTGCATTGTGGCAAACACGTGACGTCTGACGTCCCCTTTCCATGAACTTTGGTGCGTGCCACAAGGTATACTGCACAAAATTGAATAGCCCTAAATCTGTGAGGGATGCGTTCAAGTTTAGTTTTTCGGAACAATTAGTCGAGAGCCTCGAGAAATGATAGCACGACCATGAGTTACGTCAGCCTACCTTTTGTGGGACGGCTTCAAAGGGAATCTGACACGAACCCGATCGAGGATTAACTGCCACCGGCTACCGTTGTGCGCTCGCGTCCCTGCCTATCCAGGAAACCTGTTTGTTGACCGTTTTCTGTCCATCTCCCTGCTTATCTGCATCCAGGCATCAACTCGACAACGAAGCATCTTGCCGGCGGGATACTTTTTTCTAGGACCTGGGGCCATACGTTTGAGAACAGCAACTGTGTGAAGGTGATCAAGTACGAGCCCCATCTTCAGAAACCTCAACAGTTTGAGGCCCAAACATGCAATTCAACGCGGACATCGTAACTTACCCGCAGAACCAGGCATCGGGGTTACTTTACATCCCCCATTTGTGCGTTCGACCAGGCCAATCCCCCCAAAGGGTCGCGTGCAAACCGCACAAAGTAGAAAAAAAATCCTCTGTTTTTGCCCCTCGACCATGCCAATGCTTGCAGGGGCTCGCGCGCGAACCGCCAAAAGTCAAACAAGAAAAACATCAAGCACGCCAATCCCAGGGTTGCGCGCGAATCGCACCAAGAAGAAACATTCGCAGTTTTTTCGACGTCGACCACGCCGATCTCTGCAGAGGGTCGCACGCACGTTAAACTATATATATATATATGTATATATATGTATTTATTTGCTTTTCGACATCGACCACGCCGATCCCCGCAGAGAGTCGGTTTTTTGATCGCAAGTGGGCGCAGGCCGGCCGCCTTTAAGGAGTAATTTAGACTGGTCGCGCATCACGGGCGACTTCATAGGAACATCTTCAGAGATATCTGTCTAGCGTCGTTGTCGTACACTAGCAAATCTCTCCTGTAACTTGCTATTGTAGCTAGCGAAAGAAGCCTCTTATGTAACCTGCCGATGCAACTTCCTATGGGTGGAAGCTAACTTACGCAAACATTTTGTCAAATAAATCAGTCCCAAAAAAGGAAGCATATAGGCGCGAATGAAAGGATAGCTTTAGGTCCATGCAACTGATGTGCTGTTGACAGGCCCCATCTGAGGGCTTAGTTCTGCAAGTTCTTCTCAGCTTGTCTCAGCTCATCCCGTCTCAATTCCTCACTCGACCATTCCGCGAACGCACGTTGGAGTTTCATGCCCCTGGTAGTGCAGTCCTGCGCACGGGCAGCACTTGCGCCTCGAAACTGTAAACATCCGCTCTACTCGCTATTTGCATGCCCCGAGATTGCACCTTTCCTTGCTTTCCCGTGGCCAATTCAAACCAAGCCACTTGGGTTGCTACCTCTGAGTCATACAGGCGTACCAGGGCTTAGTGCGCAGCTTTTAGTGGCTATGGCACAAGGAACTGTTTGGCATTGGGCCAGATTGTGAAAACGACCGTGGTGAAACGCATACCACATTCCCCATAACTCTGTGATTCAGTGCTGAAGGGCGAATCCACACGTTTGCTTATGTTGTTCTTGAAGGCTCGTGCTTGCGTTGCCTGCTGTGAAACTGTCAGAAGGCGTCAAGTCCCGTGCGTTTCATCTTTCACCTGGCTGTCATCTTCTGGAGCCTCTGATACAGGATCTGTCAAAGGATCCTTTGGGGCTTCAGGCTCACCCTCAACCGGGCATTGGCACATCGCCAGCGAGTTCTGCATCGCGAGAGTGCTACTTGCCAGCGCAACTTGCTAGCGCAACTCGCGAGTGCTACTTGCCAACGCAACTTGCTAGCGCAACTCGCTAAGCAACCTCTCATGTAGCCTGCCAACAACGCGTGCTAATGCAACTTGCTAGCACAACTCGGGCGTTACTTGCGAACGCAACACGCCAGTGCTACTTGCTAATGCAACTTGCTAGCGCAACTTGCTAATGCAACTTGTTAGTACTACTTGCTGGAGCAATCCGACCCAGACCTTTCCTGACGAACCTTCGCAATGCTTTCCGGAAAAAAGCAGCTGTTGGGAACAAGTTCAACGTCAGTGTCCGCATAGTGAGCATCACCTGTCCACATTTTCTAGTCGCGTAAGAACGCAAGCCACATTGTGCCAAAATGGTCGAGCTCTGACTCATGAGGTGTCGATCTTCAGCCAGCATCACCTGTTCACATTTGCTGCTCTTTTGGCATAAAGCTCCACATTGGCAGCATCAGTTGTTCACATCGCCATCATCACGGGTCCACTGCCGCGTTTAAAAGCGTAACAACGCTCCACATCGCAAGCATCACCAGTCCGCGTCGCCAGCATCACCTGTTTACATCGCTGTTCTTCCGGGCGCGTAACAACCCAGTTTTGGAAATTCCGGCCCCCCTGCTCAACCCTGGCTGCTGAGGCGGGCTTGCGCCAGCACTAAAGGCGATCTATGTATGCTACTCTACGATCTAATCCAGTCCATCTGTCTGCCAAACTAGCATCAGTCCATGTCTCCCTTTCAAAGAAAAATGATCTCCCAGGACCCCCCCCCGTCAGGTTCCATGTTGATTGGTGGGAGGGCAACTGATCTAGTCTAATCGACCGAACTCTTGATCTTTCTGTCTGTCTGTCTTTCCTTTCTATCTACGTATCTCTATCTATCTATTTATCCATCTATCTATCCACCTATCTCTATCGTTCTACCGTTCCACCGTCCTATCGTTCTGTCTCTCTCTCTCTCTGTTTCTCTACCTATCTATTTGTCTACCCATTTATCTGTCTGTCTACATACCTATCTGAGCATCTGCCTCTATCAATATCATCTGCCAATCTCATCTACCTATCTCTATCTATCTACCTATCTGTCTATCTCTCTCTCCAATTGTCTATCAATCTCATCTATCGACCTATATATGTACTGTGTATATAATAGGAGCTTGCGGACGCTTGCGAAAAAGCTTGCGAACACACGCTGACGCCCAGAGCTCTTTCTGTAACGCGAACCCTTCTGCTCTGCATTCGGGAAAAAGACAACTCAACGACTTCGGAGGGTTTCAAAGCCACGTGGCAATGTGAATATGTGGTTTATGTCGAGCTAGTTCAAAGCATTGTCGTTCTGCAAACACCACAGCTCGCCAAGGCCCTCACAGCAGAAACAAGCTGCAGCGGCGGACCAGCGGCTCGTTGTGGCTGAGAACCTCTTGCTCTCTCCAGGGACTCCACGAAATATGGTTAATTGTTCAACACTTGCACAATGACTCGGTAGATTCAGCAGAGCTATCCGTGCAACAACCAAGCATTTGCCATGTGGAAATTTGGGCCACGCCTCTACAGCTGGTTCAGCACACTCACTGGCAAGTATGTCTTTGTCTGGGCATGCCGTGCCAGCACACTCCAGCATGACCTCAAGCGCTCGTCATCTCATAGTCACATACCTGGCCTCTCTACTGTTAAACAGTTGCTACAGGCAAACAGCATCACTAGGCCCCACACGCCCAAGCAATGCAGGAACTCACCGACAAGCGATGGTTCACCTAAAAGATCTTTGTCATGAAATTGGCAAGCCACTTGTCCCAGCGCCGATGACCGAAATCCCTTCTTTGAGTTCAAGGGCATGCATTGCTGTTGCCGCCATCCAGGATTTGAGCACTCAGCACATGGCCCATTGCCCAGCTGGCCGCCCTGTGTGGGCACTTCCACCTTGCATTTCAACATGCATCTCGCCAATTTTTTTGCTGCACTATCTGCTCTTGCATAAGTTTAAAGCTCTCCCAGTGCTTGCCCTGGCACCCTTCGCACGCCTGACCATTAGCGGCCGAATGAAGTGCATCGCTTGCGACGCAAACCTGAACCCGAACTCTCGGACGCCCAATGTGCATTTGCTCAATGACAATTCCGGAGCCTGTTGGCCGCTGAGGTGGGGATTCGTGTGGCCGAAGCAAAGCGGCGTGTCTTGCCAAAAACACCCAAAGCAGGTCCTTGCCGAAGTGTCAAATATTATAGAAATGCGCTGATTTGTTCCCCCCCCCCCAAAAAAAAAAAAAATGCCACTTTATATTCTTGCCGCAGTTGCCAATGCTTCTTCAAGCTGGTATTACACACCTCTCCTACGCTGTGCGCCGCGTTGTCTTCCTGACGCGACAAACATTGCCAGATTGCGCAATCGTAAACATGCATGGAACGCCTTTGAGTCAGACAGCTTCCGAGCCGCGGCGGCCATTGCTTTCAAAA